AGGAGAAGGAGAAGGAGAAGGAGAAGGAGAAGGAGAAGGAGAAGGAGAAGGAGAAGGAGAAGGAGAAGGAGACCCTGTCAGCTGTCATGTCACTTGAGAGGAGATTACTTTAGATTTCCTGGTTATGAGGCCATTGAAAGAAAAGCCAAGGACTTCACCAGAACAAAAGCTGTGCCCTTTGGCCAGGGTAGCAGCAGCCATGGTAGTGACAGCTGTCTGGCCCTCATCTTTTGAGCTATTGCTGGGTCAAGTCTGCCTCAGGCTTGAGTTGATTTGTGGGTCAGGATTCCTGATCTCTGGCAGCTTGAGCTCCCTCCCAGGGTTTTGGGATCACCAATATGCTTCCGATGGGGTGGGGGGCCTCAAGGACAGGTGCTTGCCAGCAAGGTCCTCATGTGCAAGGTGATGCTACTTCTCGATGGATCCCAGGTGTGCCAGTCACTTTGCTCATTTCTGAGACAAAAATACATGACATCTGCATCCTAAAGGGGGAAAGGTTTATCATAACTCACCACCTGTAGAAGTTTCATTCCAACATCACCTGGTTCTAAGGCAGGGCAGTACAGCAGAGGGGCATCGCAGGGCAGAAACAGTCCTTGGCAAGGCGGGTAGGAGGCAGCAAGCAGCAGGAGCAGGAGCAGCCAGCCAGCCTATACCTTAAATTCCATCCTGGCCACCAGCCCTTGGGGTGTGCCACCTAGGACTCTAACTCCCAGTGACACATGCCCTAGATCCAGTCAGGTCTGAAAAGCTCCACCTGTGAACACATGAGGGTTTGGGGACATCCAGATGCAAGCTGTGCACTCCCGTGTCTGGAGTGCTCTCCATGGTTAGAGTAACCTTCATGTCCAAGGTGATGCCTTCCTACAGTTTGCACTGGGAGTATCCCTCAGTGCCTGTGCATTACAGGCTTGGTGCCCCATATGGCACTACGAGGAGGTGGTAGCTTTTCAGAGGCCAGGCCTGCTGGGGGTTTTAGCTCCCCAGAATGAGCCTTTCACACTGGCCATGAGTTGAACTGTTTGGCGCACACATGGTCACTGTTAAATTGACATGAGCCCAGAAGCAAATGGGTCAACCAGTCCTGCACTGAAACCTCCCAAACCATGGGCCTTGTCTCTATGTAAGTTGATTGCCTTAGTTATTTGTTACAATAATGCAAAGCTGATGAAGGCACATCTTGTTTCCAGAATGAGCCTTTGAGGCCAGGGAGATGGCTCAGTAGAATAAGCACTTGCTTGGCAAACTCAAGGACCTGAGTTCAATCTCCGGTTCTGCCAAAACAAAAACAAAAACACAAGCCCCTTCATGTCTGAGGTGAGCACGTGTCAGGTGACTGTCCACCTAGGAGGGGACCTCCACGTCTGAGGTGACCCACTTGTCGGTGTGATCCCTCTGCTTTAGGTGACCCCCCATTCCTGAGGATCCTCTACTTCAAGAGAGATCTCTCCTCTTGTCAGCCTGCCCTCCTGCTGGTCTTCTGAGCTGTGGGCCTTACCTGCACCTGGTCTAGCCCTGCAGCAGAGCCTCTTGCCCTGGTCCTCTCTGCTAGGGTGTGGCCCCAGGACTGCCGCCTCAGCTTGGGTCTGCCAGCATGGCTATGAGTGGCACTGGGGTGGCCCTGTGGACACTTCTGCCACAGCATGGCCACCCTGGAGCAGCCAAGAAGTGGGTGCTGGGGGCCCTGGGGACCAACGAGAGCTGGGCCCAGTGGGATCCTTGAGGCTGGGGAGCACGGAGAAGAAAGCAAGAGGCTGAGGCTGGAGCTTCACCGACCTCTCGGAGAGCTGTGGCTCCCAGCCTGCCCTGTGTGGGCTTGTGCTGGGGCCCAGTGCCCACTCCCGAGGCCAGGCGTCGTGCTCAGCCTACAGCAAGTGTTCTCTGACTAGACCCTGCAGCCGAGCAGGCATG